TAAGAGAGATACCGAGTGAGAGAGAAGGAAGAAAGATCGACTGTTTTCAATTGCACGGTTTGCACCTCCATTTGGGAAAATTAAAAAAAAAAAAAAAAAGCGCCTATTTTTTACATGGCGGGACTCAGGTATACATTTTGGCGTCGCGTAAAGTGTCACATCCCTGCCCGGGGGGGACCACTTCCCCGGCCCACTCCACCATCGTAGCACGATATTGTCCGCTTTGGGCCCCGACCACGCCCTCACGGTTTTGTTTCTGGGAACTCACACGAGAACTTCCCGATGGGTCACCCATCCTGGGAGTGCTCTCGCGCGCTACTCGCTTAACTTCGGAGTTCCCATGGAACCCGAAGCCAGTGAGCTCCCAAAAGGCCTCGTGCTAGGTAAAGATGGGAATATACATTTAAGGATCACTCCCCTGGGCGATGTGGGATGTCACAATCCACCCCCCTTAGGGGCCCGACGTCTTCGTCAGCACACTCGCGACCAGGGTTAAGCTCTGATACCAATTGTCACATCCCAGCCCGGGGCAGATCACTTCCCGGGCCTGCTCCACCACCGTAGCACGATATTGTCCGCTTTGGGCCCCGACCACGCCCTCATGGTTTTGTTTATGGGAACTCACACGAGAACTTTCCGATGGGTCATCCATCCTGGGAGTGCTCTCGCGCGCTACTCGCTTAACTTCGGAGTTCTCATGGAACCCGAAGCCAGTGAGCTCCCAAAATGCCTCATGCTAGGTAAAGATGGGAATATACATTTAAGGATCACTCCCCTGGGCGATGTGGGATGTCACAATCCACCCCCCTTAGGGGCCCGATGTCCTCGTCGGCACATTCGCGACCAGGGTTAGGCTCTGATACCAATTGTCACATCCCGGCCCGGGGCGGATCACTTCCCGGGCCTGCTCCACCACCGTAGCACGATATTGTCCGCTTTGGGCCCCAACCACGCCCTCACGGTTTTGTTTATGGGAACTCACACGAGAACTTTCTGATGGGTCACCCATCCTGGGAGTGCTCTCGCGCGCTACTCGCTTAACTTTGGAGTTCCCATGGAACCCGAAGCCAGTGAGCTCCCAAAAGGCCTCATGCTAGGTAAAGATGGGAATATACATTTAAGGATCACTCCCCTAGGCGATGTGGGATGTCACATAAAGTGGTTTTGCGCAACGGCCACATTGTGGCGTCGCGGAAGGTATTGTTTTTTTTTTTTTTTAAATTATTATAAAATATACTGAAAATGTGACTTTACTCCCTTCAAATTCAATTTCTTTTTAAATAAAACCCACAATAATATATTTTTCTGACAAAAACCCGACCCGAACTACAATAATAAATTTAAAGCTACTTAATAAATATACATACGCATTGTACGCAACTAGTTTCAACGATCCAACCATCAAACTTGTTTGTATATTTACACTAGTGGATACCACAAAATCTTATGTTATACTTAATGAAAGTATAAATAAACTTTAAGTGTTAGTTAATCTATCGTTTTGATGGGATACGCATTCTACGAAACTAATTTCAACGATCCAACCGCTAAACTTTTTTGTATATACTTCGAGATCACATACGCCAAAAATCGCAAAAAACAAACATTCAGATATCAAGTAACGGGACAAAACTTTTTGACGGTTATAAACGAAAAATCATGATTTAACGGTAATTTTAACTCCGATTTTGATGATTTTTTACAGCTACACTCCTTGACCCTATATGAATATAATGAACTAAATTCGGTCTTCAATTTAAAATATTTACACTAGTGGATACCATAAAATATTATGTTATACTTAATAAAAGTATAAACAAACTCTAAGTGTTAGTGAATCTATTGATTTGATGGGATACGCATTCTACGACGAAACTAGTTTCAATGATCGAATCGTCAAACTTGTTTGTATATACTTCAGAATCGCATACGCCAAAAATCGTAAAAAACAAACATTTAAAGATCAAGTAACGGGACAAAACTTTTCGATAGTTATAAACGAAAAATCACGATTTAACGGTAATTTTAACTCCGATTTTGATGATTTTTTTTACAGATACACTCCTTGATTTTATACAAATACAATGAACTAATTCGATCGGCATTTGAAAATATTTACACTAGTGGACCACAAAAACACTTTGCGTGATGCAGTTTGTTTGTCCTGCAAACAACCTTTGCGTGACGCATTGGTTGCTACGTCGCGCAAACAGTCTTTGTGTAATGCATTGGTTGGTGCGTCGCGCAAAGTGTGTTTGCGCAATGATCCAATTGTGACATCGCACAAGTTAGTTTTTTTTTTTTTTTTTTTTTTTTAATTATTATAAAATTTACTGAAAATGTGACTTAACTCATTTCAAATTCAATTCATAAAACACAATAATATATTTTTCAAACAAAAACCCGATCCGAACTACAATAATAAATTTAAAGCAGCTTAATAAATATATAGGAAAACTAATGAAAATGGTTTGAAAACTTTGAGTTTTAATGATAAGGACAAAATAAAGGGTAAAGTGAATAGTACCAGAATTGACTTTTAGTGTAAAAATGTGGTTTTTCGTTAAAGTGAACAGTACCGTGGGTTTTTCGTTAAAACTCCCTAAATATATATACCATTCAATTTCTTAAGTGTTATAACAAAATAAATATATTTAAAGCTACTTAATAAATGTGACTTTCTTCAATATAATTCTTAATTACTTGCGGTGCATTAGATTTACCCTCAGTTCAACCGTATAACACAAATCAAGGAAATTTCAAGGGGAACCCAACATTTCGTACAAGTTCTTCAGTGTAAATATATAAGTTAACCCCGATAAAGTTCAAATGCTAATTCCAAATGAAGCCCAAACAAGTCTTCAGCAATATATATACAGTCTCACTCCTTTTAATCGGTAAAATTAATAAAGATTAATTAAAAATTCAATCCCACAAAACACCACCATTACCAAAAAAGCGCATAGCAAGTAGGCAAAGGTACATATACAAAAATTCCATATGCAAGTTGAAGAAAATACCTTCAAATTCGTTCTTCAATGATATTTTGTACAAAAATCATGTACAAAACAAATTTAGTAGTGTGGAAAAATTCGTTGACTTTGCGCGATGAAGGTGCAGCTTCGTTGCTCAAAGCTATTTTGCGCGACGTCAGTCTGCGTCGCGCGAAGTTCTATTGCACAAAATGTCTTTGCATGATGTTTTGTTGCCATCGTTGCACAAACATACTTTGCGCAACGCAATTTGCTCTATCATGCAAATTGTCGTCATGTAAATATGTTTTTGTACTAATGTTGCTAACCGTGAAGGTAATATAACTCATAAAAGTTTTCAAATTTCAAATCCCTAAAATTTAGGCCAACCAGGTCAACTTTCCCGAAACAATCCAACAAAATGATATGTGAAATTTAATAATACAATTTTGAAAAGAAAAATCAATTAAAAAAATGACATGGGACAATGTCAAAGGACTTTGATCAAAAACTTAAAACCAATAAGATTTCAATCGATACTATATAACAATTAAGGATGATAACCTAATTTCTCTATAATATTTATTTATTTATTCATTTGTCATTTGGCTGGAGATTGTTTTTCCTTCCAATTTAGACTAAATGTGACGTACAACCCTCGAAGGATGATGATATTAGTTTTTATAAGACGAACTTAATTAAGTTGAAGATGTAACTCATATGCATAGATTTTGTTCCATTTTTTATTTTATAAGACACACTAAATTGAATATTCCGTTTCTCTTTAGCATTTAAAGTTACTTCATAAATAACAAGTCATTGAACTCGAGACACCTTAGTGTGAAACTCTAAATAATCAATTAGTGTAACACAATTGACTATCTTAATACATATGCCTTTTTTTTTTTGGTCAAAATCTTAAAGCAGATGCTTAAAGTTTATCACTTGAAAACAACTAACGAGATGACAAAGCATCATTGGTTGGCATCCTAAATTTTCAAGCACACCATCACCCTAGACCTAATTCTATAGAAAACTCATGATCAAGCAACTATTGGATACCACTACAAGGAGCACAACATTTTGTCAATAAGGCGCATATGCTATGCAAATTCAAAGTTAAGCTTTATTCTCTAACAATCCATCAATTGCTCAACATTTCTCAAGGACACTTTGCTAACTCCCTTGAGATTGAATCTACTTTATAAAGATAATTTTTTCATTAGATTATTGAAAAAAGACTATTATTCATCCCAACTTGTAAGTGAGAGGTTTTAATTTGATTTCTCGTGCATGACGAATTCGATACCAAATTATCATAGTTGGTATATTGTGTGTGGCTTTAGCCCGAATCTTCCACTATTTAGTATAAATAATATCGCTTTATTGAATAAAAATTGAAAAAGAGACAAAAAAATATTGCATTTTCAAAATAAAAACACACCCGGCAAAAGATAATTGAGACATTCATAACTAAGCCCTCGTTTGGTATAAAGATTGGGTTTTGAAAACCCCCTACATTTAAGACATATTGAAGATGGAGGAGAATGATTTCTCATTTTTGAAAGGATTAGAAGAAAATTATACATGAAGAAAACTTCTCTCTTCTAATCCTACTAATTTGAAAATGCTTAGAATTGATGAATTTCTTCTTAAGGAATCATTCTCATACCTCTAATTCTGTCACAAATTTTCATTTCTTCTTTTACCATATGTTAACAGTAGTGTCTTATCCATTCCAATTTGTTAAACATCTCCTAGTTAAAAAATGAGGCCTAAGCTATAAAGAGTAAATGTCAAGCATTGACAACGACGGGGTGGTGGCGCAGTTGGCTAGCGCGTAGGTCTCATAGCTTCTGAGTGATCCTGAGGTCGAGAGTTCGAGCCTCTCTCACCCCAAATTATTTTTTTCGCTTTCAGTTATTTAGGTTGGGCCTAGGCCCGGTCAAACTCTGGCTCCCATACTCAATTAGAAAATCATTCGGGTCAGCCCAAAGTCAGCTCCACAGCGACCCAAATCCCAAAGTAGATAAACCCTAAGCGGCATCAGAGCTCCATCTTCTTTCACTTTCCCCAAAACCCTAAACCGATTCAGGGGCCTCCTCTCTCTCTCTCGTCTCCTTTCTCTCTCTACAGCTTCTGTTATTCATTTCAAGGACACCCAACGATGGTGAAGAAGAGCAGAAGTAAGCCTCTTAACGTTACTGAAAGTCTCTCATTTTTGTTAATTATTGTTCTTTTGTTGAATTAATTGGAATTTGAATTTAATGGGTTGCAAAGATTAAGAGTAAGAGAGAAAATTTCACCGAAATTTTATTATTTTTGTTAATTTGTTTTGATTATTTTGTATTTTGTTTCTGGAATTGATTGTAATTGGATTAATGGGTTGCAGAGAGCAAGAGCAAGAGAGTGACGTTGAAGAAGAAGTACAAGGTCATAAGGAAGGTGAAGGAGCACCACAAGAAGAAGGCCAAGGAGGCCAAGAAGCTCGGCTTCAATAACAAGAAGGTCGAGAAGGACCCTGGTATCCCAAATGACTGGCCCTTCAAGGAGCAGGAGCTCAAGGCCCTCGAAGTCCGTCGGGCTAAATATATCGAAGAAGAAGAGCAAAAGAAGGCTGCTCGCAAGGAAAGGGTACTGTTTTAGTATATTAGTCAAGTATTGCTGCATTGGTTTCTGTTTTTGTGATTGGTTTTTGTTTGAATTGTTTTAAGTAACAGTTTACAAATTAGAGTTTATTGAGTTTTCGAGCGGTTGGATACGAAATACAGCCCTTTCTATTTACTTATGCATTTGACATTCAGCTTGGCAATTGAAATTGGGTTTTAAAGTTCATAGCATATGATGCATTAATAACTGAGAATGAATGGGTATTTTTCTTCATCGATAGAGTATCCATTTTGTGTGCATATGAAGTTTCGATCTTCGAGTTCTAATGTAGAAGTTGTCAATAATATTTGCTCAGCCTATTTGCGGATTTCATCGTTTAGATACAGTCACTTGGCTGCTTTTAGTACACACTTTCGGCTTTATCTTATTGGTAAGAAAACTCTTTATTCTTATTCAGGCTAAAAAGAGGAAGATGGGGATTGTAGAGGACGAAGATGTCCCCAGTTCAGAGGAATTGGCAGAAGAAAGGAGTATTGATGAGTCTACTGGCTTTGGGAATAATCGGGGTATGTTGTTACTTGGTGTTTTTAAGGAAGGTTCAGCTTGAATATATCACTACCTTTTCTATTTCTTTAATTGTTCTTGAAATGCTTTTTGCTCTGTACAGATAGCTCAGATAGGGCTTTCTACAAGGAATTGGTTAAAGTTATTGAAGCCTCAGATGTTATTTTGGAAGTTCTTGATGCTCGAGATCCCCTGGGTACCCGATGTATTGATATGGAAAAGATGGTGATGAAATCGGGTCCTAATAAGCATCTCGTCTTACTTCTGAACAAAATTGGTAATACATTGCATGCTTTCTAGTATCTTAAGACATTGATTTGCACTTTCATTTATTTTCTTGTTTCTAAGCTTTAGCCTTTATTAACTGTGATGGTTCTTGGATCTCAGATCTTGTCCCGCGAGAAGCTGCTGAGAAGTGGCTGACTTATCTTAGGGAAGAGTTACCAGCTGTTGCCTTCAAGTGCAACACCCAAGAGCAAAGGTCAAACTTAGGGTGGAAATCATCTTCAAAGAAATCAAAACCAAGCAGCCTTCTCCAGACGAGTGACTGTCTGGGAGCTGAAACTCTTCTTAAATTGTTGAAGAACTATTCCAGAAGTCATGAGGTACGAATATCATCTGTTCAGGAAGCAATGCCGCACACACACACGCAGAGGCATATTATATATATCCCTCTGAAATTAGGGTTTTCATTGCTGGCATAAGAGTAGGTTTGAATAATTTCATCACATTATTTCTGGTGTAAATGTGAGCTTTTGTCCTTCACAGATCAAGAAATCAATTACTGTGGGTGTTATCGGCCTTCCTAATGTTGGAAAGAGTAGTCTGATTAACAGTTTGAAGAGAAGCCGTGTTGTCAATGTTGGTTCTACTCCAGGATTAACAAGATCACTGCAAGAAGTTCAATTGGATAATAATGTCAAATTGTTGGACTGCCCTGGTGTTGTAATGCTTAGATCTAAAGAGAATGATGCCTCTATAGCACTTCGAAATTGCAAAAGAATTGAGAAGTTAGAGGATCCAATTGCTCCAGGTATTTACCCATTGTCTAATTATTCGGTTAACCCTTTTAATCTGCTCGAGTGCCCTAAGCATGCATTGATCTACCATGAATTTCTTATAGTGCTGTTGTATATGAAACTTACATGTATTGCAATCCTTCGGGAATTTAGTTGCAAACAAGATTTACTCACTTTACCCTTTGTTGAACAGTAAAGGAAATTTTGAAGCTTTGCCCAGAGAGACTTTTGGTGACTCTATACAAGCTCCCAAGTTTCGATTCAGTCGATGACTTTCTGCATAAGGTGGCTACAGTTAGGGGTAAGCTCAAAAAGGGTGGTGTTGTAGATATCGGCGCTGCTGCAAGAATTGTTCTGCACGACTGGAATGAGGGTACGCATTGACCTTCTTGCATTAGACAAGAACTGTGTTGGAAAAAAAAATTCTGTAAATATGCTGAAAGATTTGATAATTGATGTTAAATATTCAATGTGTTTCAGGTAAAATTCCATACTACACTATGCCCCCAGTTAGGAATCAAGATGAACCTTCAGAGGCAAACATTGTTTTGCAGCTGGGCAAGGCATTTAACATTGATGAAGTATACAATGCTGAATCTTCATACATAGGAAGCCTCAAGTCCGTTAGTGATTTCCATCCTGTTGAAGTTCCTCCGAGTTGCCCGCTCAATTTTGATGAAGATATTGAAGAGGTTTGAACTCTGTGCTAATACCATATCACTCCTGAATCCTTTTCTGTTATTCAGCTTTGAAGTAGTTAAACTATGGTAAATTGAATTGTCTCTGCATGTTTTCGGGTACATTCAGTAGTCTTTCTAGGAAGCCGACCGATTCACATTTGATTTTAAATTTCGTGAAGGATTATCAAATTCTCAATGTAATTTGTTTTCGCATTTTGTCACACACCAGGTTGATGCGGCACAAGGACCATCAAGTCACGTTGATGAAAGTCCTGAAGATATGGTTGATGGAGACGATGACCAGTCCATGGCATGTGAAGAAGAAGATGCCGGTAAACCCAAGGATAAGAAAGCGACTAGAACTATCAGGCAAAATGAGAAATTGTACACAGCTGAAGGTATTCTCAATCCTAAGCTAAAGAAAGCAGAGAAGAAGAAAAAGAAAAAGGCAAAGTCAGCCGCAGCCTCAGTTGACGCTATGGACGCTGACGGTGACTACGACTTTAAAGTGGATTACAAGAAGGGATCTGCTATGGATGTTAGTGATGGTCAAGGTATTGGAAAGGTTCCCATGTCTGGTACTGGATTCGATGAACCGGAGGAATAGCCAGGACGATGGAATATAATTGTATCATCAGAGGCGCTTCAAGATGCATACCCAAGTTTGGTCTTGAGTTAGCCTGCGTTTTTGTTCTCTTTAAATTATATTTGAATACTGCTGGTTTTCAGATTATTGTTTACGGACCGGAGTTATATCTGCATACAATAGAAAAGCTTTGATTCAATTGTTGGTCCTGCTCTCGCTACACACACATGATTGATAAATAATTTGATATGGCAACCGCAAAATTCTGTATGCTATAAAGATTGCGGCTTACGCGGTTGCCCTCGCTGAACCGACCTGAATCTGAACTGCGATTCAGGCCAAGTCTAACTGAAATTGGATTACAATATCGCAATGGAGGACGTATAATGTAGCTAGCATGTGTATTTGCAATCCAAAATTAAGCTACCATGACTTTTGAGTAATCTACACCAGTTTAAAAACCAACTGCATTGGCTGGAAGGTGTAAGATATGCTAATACATGAAGATGAATCTCAGTCATCAATTGGCACCCCTAAAACCATGTCATCATCGGCAGGATCTTGTTTATCCTTAGTTGTCGACGGAGCTGGTTCAGTCGAGGATTGATTCACAGGAGTGACGATAGTCGTGGTGGTTGTTGAAGATACTGCTGTAACGTCTTATTGATTGCGACTGGTGTTATGTCTTCTGTAGTGGATGTCACGATTCCTTGTGCCTCCACAGTCTAGCGTGCTGCTCTCTCTTTGGCCTTGCTCTTTCCAGTACGTCTTCCTGTGTATAATCAACAAATCAAGCGTATGCCTTATAAAACTGACGAGCAAAAATGGTATGTAGGGGAATGACCTCGACGCACCTTATTAGCACAACCACCAACATAGAGAAATAAACAGGGGTGTAGAGGGAAAAAAATGGTGTGCAGAAATCACTTCCCGTAATCAACCCCCCACATTATTCCACACGAAATCTAGAACAACCAGTAACATAATTATGTAGCCGATGATCCCACGCTATTCGCTCTAAAACTGGGAATATCGAATTATGTAGTGCATATCAAGTAGAAGGATCTAAAGCAGATTTCAATCCATCAATTCTGGAAATATTTTTCGCTACAGAAGTGCTGAACAACAAATTTGTAAAGCAGAAATTTCACAAGGAGAAAGAATGCAACTGGAACTTCTTACCTGAAACTCGTCAACTTGCTTCTGCTGCTCAGCTTGCAGCCTACCAATCGTGCTCAAAAACTCGCCTACACCGGACTCAATGCGCTCGTTTATAGCTTCAGCTAGAGCTTTCCCCAAGAAAAAGGAATCCAGAACACTCCTGCTATCACCCTCAACTGCAACATTCAGTCATCAAACCTTCGCAAATTCCAATTGAAAATTTACATTTCACCAATAAAACTCGACAATTCTGGTAAAGGGTAACGACATACTCTCAATCCATTACCAAAAAATTACTGTTCATCAATGAAATATTAACACAAACAAAACCCAGTAAGCACCTCACAGAACTAACAAAGAACCACAAAGCTTTGTTCTTTCTTAATTTAGAGAAAACCCCAATTCATATATTTCAACAGTTTCCACCACAACATTCATTTCAACAGCAAACACAGAAATTACATATAAAAAAAAAAAATTAAAAATTTGAAGAAATAGAGGTAAGAACAATACCAAATCCGGGTCCACCGGGTTCTGCGCTGCTACTGCAGTGAACTATGCTTCTCTGAGATCCTTTTCTTCCATAAAATCCGACGCTTTTGAGCATTCAAATCTGTGTGAACCTTTCCAGAGCTTGAAGACGATGCAGAGAAAAGCTGCTGCTTCTGGGTTTAGAAAACGGGGAAGAAAGTGCTTGTGTGGGAGCAGAAGCAGAAGCTAAGACCCCACAAATCATGTTTTACTTCAGAGTCTCAGATTCTGTCACTTTCTCGTTGTTTCTCCCCTTTTCTTGTCAGCTCAACAGAACAAAAATCTTCTGAGTTCGCTTGTTGCAGTACGGTCGGGTTCGGGTGTAGGGTTTGTGGTTGGTATTAAAGACATGGGCCAAAACTTGTATACAAATATGTCGACATACAAAACAAGTGCAGTCTCTGCTAACTTAATACACGTCTCACACACCTTGCTATCAAAACTTATGTTCTTGAGTTTGATGATGATTTGATTTGACAATACTATCGTGCTATCAAAACTTATGTTTCTTGAACTTCATGGTGATTTGATTTGACAACACTACGAGCTCAAGCACATCTGTTTGTGGGATTTTGTGTGCTATGGTATTTGTTAGAGTTTTATTATTATCAGTCGCTTTCACGTGTTTTAATTGTAAGGACGAGAAGATTAACAATTAACAAGTGTATGAGTTGGGATTGAAAGAAAAGTTTTGTCAATCCGGTTGTAACATATCGTCATTCGTCATCTGGACCGTGTATACTACACTTGACTGGAAAAATTCTCTTAAGACTCGTTTGGGTGTAATACTTTATAAATCGCTTTTTATTCGCAAGTGTTTTTGTTCGTAGCACTTTTTAGTAGTGCTTTTACGAGTAAGCAATTTATTGTCTTACAAGCAACAACTAGTTATTTTGGATTGTATATAAGTGTTTTTGATATTAAATAGTGTTCCGCTGTGAAATGAAATGCACTTTTAGTACTAATAAATTAACGACTTTTTTCTCAAGATTTTTTGCATGAGTATTTTTCTTATATAATTAGCATACAACTTGATTAAATTGTTGATGAAAATTCAATTAAAAAATTAATGATCGTTAATAAAATGATAAAATACTTAATTAAAAATATATGTAGTTGACAATTTGTTTCTTAAAAACAAAAGGACACGTTATAGTTCAGTTCGTGACAATCAAATATGAAATAAATATTAACCAGACATAAGAAGATTAGCAATTCTTTCTTGTTCAACATCTATCTCTCGCCTATGAGTAAAATTTCATCAACAATTTCTTCATCTCTATGGTCTTCCTCGTGTCCAGGCAAAAAATGTGCACTCTAAACTGGTAAAATCCTGTTTTTGATGTTCTATTGTTGAATGCTATTATACAATAATAACTGGTTTCTAAGGAACCTTGTGTTGCTTTGACTGATGCAGGAGACGATGGTCGCTCTCAACCATGCTCTTTGCAAGTCAGCGAAAGAGGCATATACATCTTATCTGTTAGCCAATAATTCACACCCTATGAAGGACATCTTTAGTGTTCGCCGGCTCAATCTGCAGGTACCCATCTTACTATTGACACTGTAAGGAAGCTGTTTCTTTTTTCAGTTCTGCTGTCGTGGTGGGGGTGTCAAAGTGGTTTCTATGTACGTTTCAACTCGTCTAGCTTAGGGTTTCTATAGATTACTGTGCATATAGGATGATAAGAGATGAAGTAGAACATATAATCTGTGTACTCCAGGGGCTTCTGACTACTACATAAAATACCTATGTGTGTAATAACTACGAAAGATGATTGTTTTGACATGTGTTTCGCCCAATTAATTCGGTTATGTTAAGGTTTTTGGTCCTAATACCATTCAGTTCAGGAGGCGGAGCCACATGAAGGCCCGGGGCCTATTTTGAAATTTCTCTCATTTATACGTTGTTTGTTAGTTTATACAATAAAGAGTATATGGTCCATTAGTGGAGTAGAGTTTAAAGTTTCTAGCAAGTCATGGGTTCGATGCTTATTTATGCAAACAATTTTATGATTTTCTTACCATCTAAGCCTTATAACTGCCTTTCTGTTTTAGGTAAGTTAGTCAAAATATAGTCCTTTTAGGTTAGCCTTCTTGACAATTTGTAATGTTTCTTTACCTTCAATTAATAAACATTATTTTATATTGGGTTTTTTTATTAGCAGTTTAGCACTCCACATATTGTTGAATACACTTCACATAAATATGTATTATTGAATCACTCATATATCTTAACATGAAATAACTATTTAGCCCCCAAATATTTAAAAGAAATTGAATACACAAATTATTTACTAACATGAACCCTAACTCTAAATTGGTTGTCTAAACCCAAACCCTAAAATCCTAAAACCCCTAATTGACAAAAACCCCCAAATTAATAGAAACCTAAACCCTAAAAATAAAAAAAAATGTTACGAATTCCTAATCAGACATACTTTGGATTTTGTAAGAACTACAACTTTTTTTTTGTTATCAAAATCTATAACTACTCCAAAACAAATTTTCGATTTCTCCAAAAACAGAAAAAAAAAGAAAAAGAATAAATCCATTATAATATAAAATTAAAAAAATTTCTCTAAGTGGTAAGCGTGGTAGTTGGCACTACTTCCTTTTAAGTTTTGTACAATAAAAAGAATTGAACCCATTATAATTTTGAAAAAATAAAAAATAAAAAAATCACCCATGTCCTATCATTTTTTTTTGGTCAAAATTTTGTGAGATTTGACTCTAGAGGAGTAACAGAGACGGATACAAATTTTGGATTTGTGCTCTACTAGTAAAATAAACCAACAATCGAATGTCATGTAGTTGATCTCATAATTAGCATTTATATGTTTAGCATGAGTATTGAAGTTTAGAGGTGTGGTGAGAATGAGCAATGAGAGAATGTTGAATGTACGTGAAGAATGTGAGTTGTATGTAGAAAGTTTGGGGTGTGAGGGTAGTATAAAAAGTATGTGGGGTATACTAAGATAAATTTTGATTGAAAAAGTAGATATATGACGTATTTAGTATATAGAGTGTATTCAACAATGTGTAGAATGTTAATAAAACAAACCTTTTATATTCCATTTGTTTGTTCGTCGCTTACCCTGATTATCAACTTCACCATAATTACCATCACAAGCACAAACACTAGTACTCATTACCACAACTAACACATCTGCATTTAAATGGGCCTTTAATTATATACATCATGGTAATACAACTGGACCCACATCTCCAATTTTACGTCTTTTCAAGACAAAACTAGCATTCTGTTTTGCTATATAAGCCTTCTAAAGCCAACATTTTTATGATTTTTTTTTTTAAACTAATTCTTTTTTTCTTTGTCAGTTCATATAATACAAAATCTATACAATGTAGAGGAAGATCTAATTATGTTGAAAGAAAAATCACATGGTAATAATAGTTTCGAACTATCCTTGACTTTAATTTTTTTTCAAATCTAATGTGTTGATCCTTTTTTTATTAAAGCTCGTAAACAAACTTTGTTGTTATGATATAATGATCTCAAATACTAAATTTTTTATACAAATTTTAATGCTCTATCAGTGTTGTTTAATTAAAAGTTTTCATGAAAATACAAAACAATAACAAGAAATCTTTCATCGTTCTCCAATTAATTATATTTGTAACTATTTTTTTTTTCTAATTTCTTTCATGAGTAAATTGTAGCTACAGTCCCTTAACTTTAACTCAATTGGAGCAATGGTCCCTCAACTAAAAATCAATTACCATTGGTCCCTCAACTCATTAAAACGTGCAGCTATGATTCCTTAACTAAAAATCCATTACTATTGGTCCCTTAACTTTAATTCAACTGGAGAAATGGTCCCTTAACTTTAATACAATTGTACCAATGGTCTTTCTAACATAACTCGTTTTGACAAAAATTTTGACGTTGTTGACGAAAATGACCATAATTACACACTTTGATGAGTTGAGGGAACCTAATTATATAAATGGTTATTCCAACATAACTTATTTTGACAAAATTGATGAAAATAACTATAGCTACGCATTTTGATAAGTTAAGGGACCAATGGTAAAAAATTTTTAGTTGAGGGACCATTGTTCAAATTTGATTAAATTTGAGGGACCATTGCTACAATTTACTCTTCTTTTATTAGCTTAAAGTCCCTCTTCTAATGAATTTCTGCCTCGTCACCAATTTTGTTGGAATTGAATGTACGTTTAGGCGGTTGCAGCTTCATTTTGCTTTCCTAGACCCCCAAGGTGGACTTGACCTAGTTTGAGTGGACGATGGACATAGACAGCAATGCATCAAATTTGTTCAGGAAGAAGGAAGAGGCGCACAAATATAGTAGGAACTGATCGGAATTTTTTTTTCCAGTAGCAGAACTGATCTGATGTTCATTGATTGTTGGTTGAGTTAAAATATATGTTGTTTGTGCTATATATGCTATTGTGATAAGGATTCGCTATGGTCAATCAAGCATTTGAGCTTTTTTTTACAGTAGATACGCGTGTGTCTGATCGTAGCACTCCCTCATTATTATAAGGTATAAGGAGCTATGCATCTCTCCAGGTTAGAACAAGAACAAGAACTTGAAAATGTTGATGGTGTTAGCATTGAAATCACCCAGTAAACTTTGTTTAATTCTTGTATTTACAACTCATTTTTTGGCTCATCGTCGTATGCGTACTGAGATTTTCGCTGGCATTGGAACGATGTTTAAGAAATACGTGTATGTTTATTGATATAGAAAACTTCATTTTAATTCTTGGTAAAGATGACTTTTAGATTAAAACCATGAGTAGATCAAGATCTAATTTTAGTCCTTTGATACATTGATAACCTCATTTATTGATTATATTTTGATTTGTTTATTATTTCTCTTTTTCTTTCTAATTTTTAATGTATTAATTTTATTTCATTATAATTTTCATTTTCATTTTCATTTCATTTATCGCAATATATTTTGTTGTCAACATTTAGATAAACTAATTTTTGTTATATAATATATTTTGATGTACATTGTCTTCTTCATTTAGGTACATTAAATTCATTATAATACATTTCAGTGCATACATTTAGGTACACACATTTTGGTACATCATTTCGATACAAACATTTAGGTACATTAATTCAATATAATACATTTCGGTATACACATTTAGGTACACATTTCGGTATATTGGTACACACATTTAGGTACATGAATTTAATATATTACATTTCGGTGCATATATTTAGGTACATACATTTCAGTACTAATATTTAAACACATTAGTTCAATATAATACATTTCGGTACACACATTTCGGGTACTAGCATTTAGGTACATTAATTGAGTCTTTCAAGTTTGAAGAATGTTAAATAAAATTAATAAATTAGAAAACTCTTTTTTGGTCAAAAAAAAAAATAAATTTGTATGTTAATAAATTTAAATATTTAATGGGAGACATTAAATAAAATGCACATTAATTATTTTGAATTAATGACACATCAAGGGATTATAATCAATATCTAATCTAACACCAGGTTTATTTTAAATTTCAATCTTTCTTGAAGGATTAAAGTTAAAAAAACCCTTATTGATATTATACCTTAGTGCATAAATTCGTTGTCTGTAATTAATAATACAAACATCAAAATATTGAGCAAGTTTGTGTTTAAACATAGAACGTTATGAGTTAAAAAGAAAAGTTCAAACTAACAGGGTATTACCATGAAAATTCAAGGCGTTGCCTTATTGAGATAATGAAGAGCTCGTTTAGAAGTGCTTTTAAAATAACTGAAAATGCTTTTAGATAAAATGTTTTTGGGTCTCAAAAGTACTTGAAGTGTTTTCTGCAAAAAGCACCAATTATTGTGCTTATTTTAGGAAGTACTTTAACTACTTTTTCAAAATTTATTTACATTTTTACTAAAAATTGATCCTAAAAATATTTTAACCAAAAATGTTTTCAACAATTTTAAAAACACTTCAACGACATTTATCAAGTCTATCCAATAAAAAGTAGTAATCCACAAAATTTGAAATGAAAAAACAAAAATGGTAGTAAACTACGTACGGAATTTCCAATCCAATGACAAGGATATAATTAATTTTAATTTTATTCCCCTATTTGTAATTGATAGGTGGATTGTTCACTCCGCAATTTTATTCCCCTATTTACCATTAACAAATTAATTAAACCGGAAATGAAAAATATAAATATTTTTGTGAAGTACGAGGGAATGGACTAACTCTATGAAGTGATGTTTATCTGGGTTCGATAAATTCTTGAGATCATGTTCTGGAACCACTCTGGCACCACTACATTTATCTAATATTATTAATATTATGTGCTTGAAACAAACAGATACATCGAGCCACCCATCAAGTAATTCTGAATTAAAATTTATCATATTTTTCTTATGACGTGAATGAAAAAACAAGAGTCGGACTGCCATTTGGCTCATCTTGAACACGTGAGAGCAGTACTGCTACTGAAGTTATAAACTTTATAATTATCCCATTTTAGAAAAATCATAGAGCATGTGTTTGTAGTTTTACTTCGATCATTTAGAGTTGAGAATTAAAAATAGGATTTTTATTATAAATTGTCTGTGAACTTGACTTAACTTATCATTTAGGTTTCTCAATTTGCAATTCAATTAATCTCGTACTTGAATTTTATTTTGCACATCAATATGGTTTCTGCCAGCAAAATTGTTATATTTTATGTTAATTTGATACATGGCACATAGAGCTTACATAACCAATAATTTGACACCATGTGGAAGATACAAATCCGATGTGGCAATATTAAAAACTTAATACTACTGTCTAGTAGTATTTATAGTATTTCTCTTTACTTATAAGAAAAATATCTTATAATCACTTTTGGTTCGTACAATGACGGGAGAGGTGGACCGGAGGTTGGGATTGATTCTCTGCAACCAGGTCGCCATGGACTCCGTAATTGAAATCCTTTCTCTTTCTTCCAAGTTTTTTGATGTCATGACATTGTTTTGGTGTTGTTTTGCGCCGGGGGGGTGGGGTGGGGGTCTAGAGGGAGAGAGATAGAGGCGGATGGGGATGGGGGAAGATGTTGACTGGGTTTTATTTTTATTTTTTGGTTGATTTAGTTTTTCAAATATTTCATTTCGTTTACTTTAATTTAAAAAAAATTATTTTTTAATTTGTCTGTGCCGCACCAAGTTATTGGCTATGTAGGATGTCATCATACCAGAAAATTTATTGGATTTTGACTATAAGGATCACATCGATGTGCAGTAATGAATTTCAAGAAAGATATTGATTGATTTTCAAATTGAGGAGCCAAAGTGATTAATTAGTTCAATTTCAGAAACCATTTGTAATAAAAACCCTTAAAAATATGATGATCATAAAAAAAGTTTGGGCTGATATTAATGAATAATTGGGGGCAGTTTTTAGGTTTCACTTGAGGAAATTAGTGCTTAGGTCATATGTTTCCATTGAAATGCAACCTGGTTGGTGGACCATCACTTGGATCTCAACTCAAAATTATAAGTACTTAATTGGGCAGTAATCTTCTTTAATATTCAGGAGTAATCGACATAATGAATGACAGCACTTAATATTAACAAAATTATCCAAGGCTTATAGTTTACAAGGTTTAACTATTGATCTTTCGTTTTCATTTTTTTTTTTTTTTTTTTTTTTTGGAAAAAAAAGGGTAGTGCAACCAGCTACCTTATTTGGTCTCACCTTTTTTCTTAAATGCATACAAAGTTTCTCTTGTATTTTGATTAATTCTACCACTAACGACAACGTATCAATTTATTATTGGATCATCGCACAAATTTGATCACATGTTCTGCATACGAAAATTATCTCCGTTCGTCAACATTACTTTAGTAAATAAAAATAGAGTTCAAAATTAAGAAAAAAGTAAAAGAAAGAAAAACGTGTTGGATGAGGTCCTTTGATTTGAAAGAGTTTTAAACATTCTAGTGGGGGCCTATCTGCGTCTCCTTGACTTTGGTAGAAACGACCATTCAGATGTTTCCAAAAACTTCAAAATTCAACCGCAGCTCAGAAACTGCGTGGCATTTTCGTTATTTACTCTAAAGTTGGAGGGTAGCTAACAAATTCACAACAAAGACCCGTCGCTACCTAGCTTCTCATCTAGGCAAAACTCCTCTCTCTCTCTCTCTCTCTCTCTCTCTCTCTCTCATCACAATAAAACAACCGCGACTTTGCTTCTCTCTCTGCAACAAAATTAACCCTCAGAACCTCCGCCCTCTCTCTCTCTCTCTCTCTCTCTCTCTCTCTAATCCGCAACCGAAACCTCCACTCTCTCTATCCTAGGTTTAGGGTTCGGGGATCGAATCGATGGGGCAGCAGTCGTTGATCTACAGCTTCGTGGCGCGCGGCACGGTGGTCCTCGCAGAGTACACGGAATTCACCGGAAACTTCACCAGCATAGCCTCCCAGTGCCTCCAGAAACTTCCGGCCACCAACAACAAGTTCACCTACAACTGCGACGGCCACACCTTCAACTACCTCGTCGATAATGGCTTCAGTAATTCCTCTCTCTCTCATCAGATCTTTTCTGATTTATGTTTTTAGTTTCCGGTCGGATCCGTGTCTTGGTCATGGATTTGATCCGCTAATTTTGCTTGATTTGGATTGCCTCCATGTTTCTATGCTATTTTTGGAAAATCATTTATTTTTAGTTCGATTGGCATAGATTTTTCTCGCTTTGAGGCTGGAGGATAAGATTCGTATAGATTCTCAAGCTCGTAATTTCTTGTGCGTTTTTCTCGGATTTTGTTAGGCTGTTTGGTAGGTGAGAATATGTTTGTGGAGAATGATAGAGTCAAAGTTTGTGCTGTGAAATGGAAAAAAATTGGTAGAAGTAAACCTCGTAACCGCTGTTGTGAATTTAAATTGATTCGTTTGATATGAGTGTTGATTGGTTCCTGATATGAGAGAAATAAAATTCACGATTGAAGTTTTTATTTGGGTATTTGTTTTTCAGGATTCAGTTAATAAATATTATTGTATCCGAATTATGTTAGTTGTAGCTTTCTCAAAAATATTCTGCAAGCCAGATGAGCATGGCTTTGTGTCTCTTCTGGTTTTGTAAAGCTTATTCACTTGTGCATTCTAATGGCTTTCAAAAATTCAAAGTGTTCCTTGTTTTCAGAATTAACCAATGAAAAAACTCTCAGCTGAAATAAGTTGAATGAGTACGGTATTTTAGCTTCTACTTTTTTTGTAATTACCAGATTATGCTATAGGAAATATGGCAAGAAAGTCATTAATCGTCAAATCTGAATTAATGTTTTATTGTTGAGTAATGCTACACTTACTATCTATTTATACCATCATTTGTATCATTTCTCTATTAGAAGTAGGGCCACCAACACATGTGAGTCCCATCTCTATTGAGCGATGATACGAATAGATGGTAAGAATAGCATTGTTGTTTATTGGTATGTATGTTTCTACCAAGTTTGTCAACATTACCAAAACATAATTAGTTGAAGAAGTTGAACATGAATTGTCTCACTTTAAGGAACCTGTGGAAATGGAGTACTATGATCAGCCACTGCGAACAGCTCTTGTTAATTAATCTGTCAAGATCATTTCTCTGACATGAATGCTTGCACCAGAACCTTGAGTTTTTGAAGCCCCTTGCTCTTGCTTGGGGTTGGAGGCAGCTAGATACCTCCTCCTTTCTTCCCTTCTTCTTTGCCCCTCCTACTTACTACAACCTAGCTCCCTCCCTTCCTTCCGTTTCCTTTCCCACCCCCTCACTTTTCCCCTCTTTTCCCCTTCCTCCTTCCTCCTGTCTCTTTGTCCCCCTCTTTTGCCCCCTTTTCATCTTTTTTATTCCCCGCACTCCGCTCTCAATCGTCTCTGCTGGTTTGAGAGTCGGTGGTATGTGGGCTCAGCATTCTTCGCCGCTTACCCGGCTTTTATTGCCAGTTTTTGCTGTCTTATTTTCCTCTGTTTTCCACCCCTCCTATATCCGTATCATGGTGTCACCCCCTTTCAAACCCAATCCTCCATCCTCTTCCATCTCTTCCCTCTACCACACACCCTCATAATTCATCCACACCCCAAACTATTGCTCAAATCCACGAGCGACGAGCCGAAGATGGTGGCCAAGTCATTTTCGTTTTTCATTGCCCCTACCCCAACCAGCATGCTGGATTCTTTGGCTTCTGCCAAAGTAGGGGTATTTCACATACCTCTTAGCCTCACCACTCTTCCATCTGTTACTGTATTTGTATATACTTGCAGGGTTTGGTGAAGTTAATCTAGATTCAGTGGCTATCGTTCGGATCGGCATTTCTGGTGACAAATTTTGGTTGCAGGTGCTCATTTGGTTATGGGTTTGTAGCTTTTGTGCTATGATGTCTTGGTTCAATTGTTCACTCATTCGTTTTCTCCAGTGTGGCTGCCTTGGTGACTGCTGGCAAGGTGTTCATGGCGGCGGCGGCGGCAGTTGTTCACTGCTCTTGGACGATAAGATTTAGGGTTCTGTTATGTCTTTCTGCTTATTGGGTTGGGCTTATGTGTGTTTGGTTTCTCCCAATGTTTATTGGTTTCCAGCATCCCTTTGGTTGGCTCCATGTAACCCTTCCTTTGTGTAATGAATTTAAGTTTTCGACCATAAAAACAAAAAAAAAGAAGAAAGAGCTGCCTGAAATTACTTTTCAGTGGCAAAACATTTCAGTTTTTATAAGTAGTTGCATGGATATGTAGTTTTTATACATTACGCGTAGTTGGATGATGGGTATCTTTTTATTCATTTTTGTTTCTCTCAACTCTTTAAAGTTTGATACATTTATGTCTATAGGAGTTGAACTAACTTTACTCATTTGATGCTACAGCATATTGTGTAGTCGCAGTTGAGGCGGTTGGTCGACAAGTTCCTATTGCCTTCCTTGAGCGGATCAAGGAGGATTTTACCGGTAGATATGGTGGGGGAAAAGCTGCAACAGCAGTTGCAAATAGCCTGAACAAGGAATTTGGGTATTGTTGCTTTTTTGTTTTCCATTCATTGAATTGAATGCTGTTGTGATTTCCTATGAAGTCCTTCTAATCCCATAATTTTGGTGGCAATATATAGGTCCAAACTGAAGGAGCACATGCAATACTGTGTGGATCATCCCGAAGAGATCAGCAAGCTTGCAAAAGTGAAAGCTCAGGTTTCCGAAGTCAAAGGAGTTATGATGGAAAATATTGAGAAGGTAAGGCCTTGTGACTATTTATATGTACAAAACAAAAAAACCTTTATTTAGTTAGATATCTATTTCTTGTGGACATTTTTTTGCGGGATTGATATTCAGTAATAAAATTTTAGAGATTGGGAGTAATGTGGTTCGACGTTATTTGATTGATTATGTGCTTTGTAGGTTCTTGATCGTGGGGAGAAGATTGAACTTCTGGTGGATAAAACAGAGAACCTCCGCTCACAGGTTAGCAACCGTTGTCATTTTTATTGTACCCTGCCATAGCCGAGTCAATTACTTAGCACCAGTAAACCCTTAGTCGCTGTAGGCTTAGAGTAGGTTATCTTTATCTTTTGTTGGTTGTGCATTTTGGTTCAGTTCCATTAATTTTCTTCTGTATTATGTGTTACTGATTGATTTGGGTGATGCAGGCACAAGATTTCAGGCAGCAGGGGACCCAGATGAGGAGGAAGATGTGGTTGCAGAACATGAAGGTCAAGCTGATAGTTTTGGGAATCTTAATCGCATTGATTCTCATCATCGTTCTATCCGTGTGCAATGGCTTCAAATGCTGATGTGTCCAGACTCTTACTGCAGACTGGATGACGTTCGTTCCTCGCGCAGATTTCTGGTCTACGTATAATTATTTTTGGCAAATCCTACTTTCTGCAATATTTTGTATTGTAAGACCGTTTGTATAGCTTGTATTCGCGAATTCTTTCTATAATAGGCCCGCTCGGAAGTGTGAATTGCTCTTTGATTCCTTTTGTTCCGTGGAACTTATGTTGTAGCACTTTGTGACTGATTTGGCAAAACAACTGTGAGTGTTTCTAGATTTGATATTCAACAAGTGAGAAGTGTCGAACATGCAAATGAAAGGTGAAGGAAATGTGTTGCTTTCGCCTTCAATTGAGAATCGAAAACACGAAGGGAAATGTCCCTTGAGAATAATGTATGAAAATGGCTTTTGCCGAACAGAAAAACGAGTCCAAGTTTTTCGACTTTCTTCTATGTATATGAAGTACGAAGTACCAAGACAATGGTCATATGTTGATCTCCATGTTGTCGATCAGTCGAACCTTTCCAAACCAGGCAGCGACACAGAACACAACAGGCCTTCTGACCTCTGCTACCGACTCCAAGCTTTCTTGGTCGACAATCTGGCGGCATAATTCACAAACAATTAGAAATTTCGAGCGAAGCTTCGTTAAGTTTGCTGAAAAATTAGCTTACAAGACGTCTCCCGTAAAGGAGGAACAAATTAATACAAGAAAAACGAAGTAAGGTACAGATTCTTTCAAAATAGGGGTTTTAAAATGCAAAGCTATAAGAAAAGCCAATGCAGTAAAACAAGTTCATTCTACGACGCTCACCTCAGCATAATCGACTCTTCCACCGGCTTCACTAATCGCTTGGATGACCAAGGCTCTCAACTCTTTACAATTAACTTGTCCCTTTTCTGCAGAAGATCTAGCTTCTGACAATGACTTGCTTATAGACAGTGCCTGCATATCACCGAAAATAACACACTAATACTTGAACAGAAGACACTGCAAGAGCAAGAATGCTGCACAACTCAAGTTCTATATTCGCAAATAACGAGAAAGGCTAAATGCAGTTGCAAACCTTTTCCCGTTCTTCAGGTGAGAGGCGCACATTGCGTGAACTCATTGCCAGGCCATCGTGTTCTCGCACTATTTCAGATCCTATCACTCTAACGGAAAAATCGAGATCTCGAACCTGTACAAATACAAAAAGAGCGATAATCAATAAGCAGCTTCCTACAAATGTGGCTAAACATCATCTAATCAAATATGTCATGTCTAAAACTACTGCAGCAATTAGGTTTGAAATAGCCAACTTAAGTAAAGCAAACAAAGTTTTTGAAACCGGTTTTAACCCAAACCCGAAATATATGATCTGCAACAATTATCCATTCAATTACCGCAAGCAACTCAAATCCTCAATGAGCACAACATTGGCATCAGGTTCACACAATAAGTTCTCACACCGAACATTTTGTCATTTCTTACATGAAATCCATCAAAATTTATCCTCCCATGTGCCGCAAAAGTGACAATTTCGTACAAGAATTTAACGGAAGTTGACATACACACGTCCTCGAATTCAAACACTAAACAGAATGCAAACAACAAAGACAAAAATTGGATGCAATTGAAAATGTAGCGACAAGACAAGAGGTACTAAATCATGTCTTGGCCATCACTTTTCCGACAAAATCTTTCAAAGTTTTACACTTTCATGCTCCAATTCATTAACTTCTAGAAGCTTATGGCGCGGCGAAAATTCCACGAAAATAGATTTCATCATACATTTTGTAGATATTCGCAAAACCGATTGAAAATGGAGCTCAAAAATTGAACAGGAACTCACCATCCGCTGAATTATCCGCCATTGTTGATAATCCTTCTTCCCAAACACCGCAACATCAGGCTCCACGATATTAAACAGCTTGCTCACAACCGTCGCAACCCCTCTGAAAAACACCGGCCTGCTCCGCCCGCACATCCCCTTCTCCAACCTCTCGACCCTAACCCACGTCTCGTGCCCAACCCCCTTGTCCTCCAAGCACGACACCGTTTCGCCGCCGCCGCTCTTAACCGCCCCATTACTCGCACGTGCGCTTGCGTCCGTGCTTCCTCCGTAGTCGTACAGGTTGTGGGGGTTGAAGACGACGTCGACGCCGCCGGGAATTTGTGTAAGCTTCCGGATGTCGCCGTGGAAATCGGACGGGTATGTGGAGAGGTCTTCGGAGGGGGCGAACTGACCCGGGTTCACGTAGATCGAGACGGCGAGGACGTCGGCGTGGGTGCGGGCTTCTCGGATGAGGGAAACGTGTCCTTCGTGGAGGTAGCCCATTGTGGGTACTAATCCGATGGTCTTGCCTTGGGCTCTCATGGCGCGTGACCACCTCCTCATCTGGTCCTTGTCCCTGATAATCTCTGGTTCTTTGGCCGCCATTGTATCAGCGTTTTGAGGAGGAAAGTGAGAAGGATTGGTGGAATTTAAGAAAGCAAAGGTGAAGTGACAAGTGAGGCGGAAACCGTTTATGTGGCGGGTAGGTTGGGTCACGCCTGCCTAAGCTGACCGGAATAAGTATACGATTTAATAATAGAGAAATTATAGCAATAGTTCCTCAATTTTAACCTAATTAGAGTAATGATCATCTTAACTAAAATTCCGTGACTAATTTGTCTCTTAACTCCTTAAAACGTTCAACTATAGTTATTTTTATGAGCTCCGTTAGAACTTTCGTCAAAATGAGTCACATGTCACACACATGAGGCTGAATCGAAAGGCAAATATGAAAAACTAAATGCGAAAAATTATAGCAATGGTGCATCAACTTTAACACGACTATGAAAATGATCCATCAACTTTAACTCAATTGCAGCAATGGTCTCTCAACTTTAACCCAACTATAGTATTAGTTCTTCCAACATAACTCATTTTGATGGAATTCTAACAGAGTTAACGAAAATGATCATAGTTGCACGTTTTGATGAATTAAGAGATCAATAATTATGAAATTTTAGTTTAGGACCATCGCTCCAAATTTGTATGAAATGTTTGAACCCAAGCAAATTCTCGTGGAGGTAGCCCATTATGGGTACTAATCCGATGGTCTTGCCTTGGGCTCTCATGGCGCGTGACCACCTCCTCATCTGGTCCTTGTCCCTGATATACTCTGGCTCTTTGGCCGCCATTGAATCAGCGTTTTGAGGAGGAAAGTGTGAAGGATTGGTGGAATTTAAGAAAGCAAAGGTGAAGTGACAAGTGAGGAGGAAACCGTTTATGTGGCGGGTAGGTTGGGTCACGCCTGCCTACGCTGACCGGAAAATAAGGATATGTTTAATAATAGAGGAAATTGTAACAATGTTTTTTCAATTTTAGCCTAATTAGAGTAATGATTATCTCAACTAAAATTCATGACTAGTTTGTCTCTTAACTCCTTAAAACGTGCAACTATAGTCATTTTTATGAACTCCGTTAGAACTTTCGTCAAAATGAGTTACATGTCATAGCACATAAGGCTAAATCGAAAGGCAAATATGAAAAACTAAAGAGAACTTTAACGAAAAGCTCCCGCTACTGTTCACTTTAATAAAAAACCATATTTTTACATTAAAATGTTAATTCTGGTATTATTCACTTTACCCTTTATTTTGTTCTTATCGTTAAAACCCAAAGTTTTTAAGCCTATTTTCATTAGTTTTTCCAAAACTAAATGAGAAAGGCAAATATTCGTCAAAATGAGTCACATGTCATGCACATGAGATTGAATCGGAAGGCAAATATAAAAAACTAAATGAGAAAAAATTGTAGCAATGGTACATCAACTTTAACCTGACTGTAGAAATGGTCCCTCAACTTTAACTCAATTGGAGCAATGGTCCATCAACTTTAACCCAATTATAGTACTGGTTCTTCCAACATAACTCATTTTGATGGAATTTTAACGGAGTTAACAAAAATGACCATAACTGCCACATTTTGATGAGTTAAGAGACCAATGGTCATGAAATTTTAGTTTAGGGACCATTGCTCCAAATTTGTATGAATGTTTGAACCCGAGCAAATTCTCTTGAAGAATACTTGTATTCCCTCTTGGAGAATGTACATATTTCTCCACTTATAAATAAAGTAGTTTCATCATATAAATTTCATAATCAGAAATGTTCAATTTTTTAATCTTCATTTGAAAATCATTCTTACAAAAATCATTTGAATTGGAGATCGTTTAGTCATTCAAATGTATCAAATAACCAAAGGTGTAGGTATTAAGTATCATATTAATGATGAACTGCTCATTTATTTGATACATTTAGATGACTAAACGATCTCCTATTGAATGTTTTTTTTTGTAGAGATGATCTTCAGGTTTAGGGTTTTATTGGTAAAGATATGTCATTTGCAAGTGAGGAGCAAACTCATTTCTTCAAGGGAGAATACAAGTATTATTCGATTTTCTTTATCCATACGTTTATCATTTAAATATCATTTACACAAACATTTTAAATAATACTTGCATTCCCCCTTTGTGGGATGAGCTTATTCTTTCACTTGTGAATAATGTATCTTTATCGTAAAATTTTCATAATTGGAACGTTCAATGTCTTAATTTTGATTTGAAGATTATCCCATGGAGGAAATGTAGGTATTATTCAAAAAATTTATTCAATTTAGAGGCTATTTAGTTATTCATATAAATTAATTCTTTTTTTTAATACACACTTGCAAATAACGTATCTTCATCGTTTAAATTTTATAATTGAAACCATTCAATATATTAATTTTGATCGAAGATTATCCTGAAGGAGGAGATGCCTCATGCAAGTATTATTACAAAAAATTATTCAATTCAAAGGCTGTTTAGTTATCCATATAAATTATGTCTTCTTTTTTCTTTCTAATACATACAATATTATCTACAATGAGCTAAAAATGGGCTAACCATAATAATTTGACTCAAATTTACTTTTGACGAGAATCGAACCTAAGACCTCTCACTTACAAGTGGAGAAGAATGCAACTAGACCATACTACTAAGTGACAAAACAAATCAAACATACTAACAGTTATTCATAAAAATATGACTTGTCATCATAACGATTGATTTGTTCAACACATATGAATCGCTAAACAATCATTGAATTAAATAAATTTTCAAGACTTGATATAAAAAGAATGAACAATTTGAAGTTGAATACGATAAAATGATGTAATATTATGTAAAGAGTCAAGTATCATCCAAAACATAATACTTTGTTGGGAAGACTAGCACTGATTTGGATACGAAATAGAAACACTAAATTGTTGGTTCTCAATTCACTTTCTCATTACCAACTTAATTCTCTCCAACACAAGCATCACCTCCCTCACATTATGTACAAAAGGGACCTTATTCTAATTTACCCACACAACACAACAAAGCTTCTCTTTTTTGTTGTTGGGCCTAACTAAACATACAACCTCTTTTAATTTTTAACACATCTACATATGAACAACTAGAGAAACACTATTAGCATGCCACTTGATCTCTAAATTAAGAGATCTCTTCAAAGATGGGAAGCCTTTTAGATCTAAACGGACCCCATTCATTCATCAACTGCTCAAGCCCCTTCACAAAATCATCATCTATGCTCAATACATCCAATGACTCTAGCAAACAATTCATAGACCTCAACTCCATTAGCAACTCGTCTGCCTGTTTCCTCGACTTGCTCTCCTCAGATCCTGGAAGTCTACTGTGCACCACATCTTCGAGAACCAAATGGGCCTCTTCGTGTCGGCCTTGTTTGATCAGGCACATGCCCAAGTTACATGCCTTGTTTGAGTTAGGGTTGATCATTTGGGCCTTTCGATACACAACCTCCGCCATCATGTAGTTACCCTTTTGCACATAGGCCCAAGCCCAAATTGCCCTGTAAAATGTATCCAGATAAGTCACATTACTAATGTAACATGTTACTAAATTGTGAATCGAGACAATTGATAGCGTAACATACTAGTAATCTCGAGGTCTCTTGTGTAACTGAAACCTGAAACTTCTTTCCGTGAGAGCGGGCGATTTTAGTTGGTTTTCCGTTGAAGGCGGCGCCTTGGTATATCAACCTAAGCTTCCTCTTGAGCAAGTCAATTTGCTCCTCAACTTTGCCACATTTCTTGTACAAGTCAATGAGGACATTATCAAGTGAATCTTGGGCTTGTTTGGAGCAAAGGCCTCTAAAGGACTTGACAGCTTCAATGGCCTCCTCAGTTCTGTCCAGTTGCTTCATCACCACAGCCATGTCTTTTAGGGCACTGTCCACTCTGTCTCCTGCATTTATTGCCTTCCAAAACAAAACTATTGCTGCCTCCGGATCCTTTTCAACTAGCTGAAATATTACACAAAAAAAAAAAAATGGGCTTGATAAGGATGAAAAAGTTGGGCTAGTATTTGGGCTCCCATGGAAAGACCCATATATATAAGAAACTGTCACTCTCTCCCTATTTTTCACAGACTGGTCCAGATCAAGTGGGCCAACACTTATTATTATTTTTTATGACAGTAAAAAAGAAATACTAGGAATTGATTTTTGTTGTTAAGAAAAAGTATTCAGGCAATTAATTACGACCGTCGACATTCGGCGTAATGACACATATGTATAATTAGGTTTTACCTTTGTGAAAAGAAAAAGAAAAAAAACAAATGAGTTAAAACTTATGGGAGGATTTGCATGCATGCCTTAGTATCAATTAGGATACCTAATATAACATTTGAAGTGGTTTAAACTTCTATCTTGTACGCAGATATGAACTTAGATAAATTGGTTGGAACATTGTATTTTTTTTTATCTCTATGATAAATTGCAAAATATTCACTATCTGCCTGTGTTCAAAATATTAATATAGGTGGAAGTATCGATATGCAAATTTATAGAAATATTGATAGATATATTGACATTGGTTGCCTTTGACGGAAACTATGGAAATTTATACTGGATGGGTATATATAAAACTTTTTTTTATTTTATTATTTTACAAATTTATTATTATTAAAGGGAGGGGGAGGATTTGAAACTTACAATAATTAAGGGGATGATGAGTTTCGAATCCAGGACTCTATCTATTAGAATGTTAGACCACATGGAAAGTTATGGAGTGGGTATATCACCCTTCCTTTCCATATCGTTTCTTAAATTTTTGGACATTTCGACAAAAATATCAACAATTTTATGAATATTTTAAACACTGGCTGCGCGCACTAATATATACAACTTCTACTGCTCTACATTCTACGAGCCCAAAGTTAACTATTTCACGAAATTTATTAATGATTAAGCTATTTGGTTTAACGAAAGTATGTATTTAATTATGGATAAAACTTCACTATTGCCTAGGTGAAGATACATATCTTGTAATCAATTACCACATAGTTTAACTATATGTTTGAGATCTGATTTACACCAGTGACTGACATTGAGATCTGACTTACCACTTAACCCCATATAAACAACCTAATTAATTATTAAAAAGAGCCATAAAATTATTGAAAAACGAGGTCGA